AGGAATAACCAGTGTGAAAATGCACAGACAAGGATGACAGGTGGTAGTAGATGCCTGACCTCGTCCAAGCAGCAAGGCACTGGTCTGATAGGAAAGCAAGGAGAATGTGCTTGTGCTGAAGAGGAGATTGGATATCCACAGTTATCTAGTGAAAAAACATCCAATTTGCTATTCCCAGTTGCACATCAAACATCAACATCTTAATACAAGCATGGGTAAGGGTGACAGTTCATGACACTCACAAATATTTACGTTTTTCTAGGAAGTCTCCAGATCCTATTAGATTTAGATCTAATAGATCCCAGATCTCTTACCGAGGATACAAAGGAAGACCCCTGTCCTCATGGCCATCTTTACCAGCTCCTTAAGCCACACCTCTGAGAATGAAGTGTTGCAAGTCTCAGAGAATGCAGGTAAAGATCTTATTCCCAGCCGTCCACCAGTTCACCTAGATCGATCTGTTGAAAGTACACTTGGCCTGTAGTTAGAGCAGGAAGTAGGAGCTGTGGTCTCCAATACTGCTGGATTGCTGGAGAATAAGCTCTTGCTGAGCACAGTACAGATGAGAAGTCTCTAGACTCAGATATTAGTTTGAAAAATGTTTTTGAGAAGATGGATTTAAATGTTTCCTCCAACTCTTCCCCCTTTTACTCGCCCCCTTTAGAATACACTTTTCCTCCTGTGACTGTCGATGGCTTTCTCCTCTTGTCTGGTATTGCCTCTGTCCTCATTCAATCTCCCCTTGCGACTTTCAACCGTCTCATTATATCCATTGACTTTCCTACTCTTCTCTATGATTCCACTCTCATCCAGTTTCACCATCTCCCATGATATTCACACTCTTCTTTATGTTCACAATCCAATCCAAATCCCCATTCTCAGCTTCGTTCTTACACACCCCTTACTCAGTTTGCATGCTCGTTCTCTCTTCCCAGTACACCAAGTCACTCATTGTTTCCCCGAACCGTTAACATGCATTTGTCCCTTCACTCTGACTTATCCCTCTACATTCTAGTTTGCGCCCTCCTTCCCTCAGAATGCTTCAAGTGCCCATGACAGCCACATCCTTTAAGTTCCAGCCCACCTTTCTGTGAACCTTTCCTGATGAGTCCTCCTCAAGTATGGCACCTTTTTCATTTCAGACCCCTGGTCAGTTGAATCCTGGCTGCTTGGCATCAGATACTGTGACTGCTTTGCTTTGGAAGGCCAGTGGGTCTGGTCAGTCTCCGCTTTTCACTCTATAAACATTTAAGAACCACAAGAAAGACCACATCCAACTCTGGCCTCTCTTCAGATGGTTGACCTGTTAATTTTACACCTTTTCACTATGTGTTTTAAAAACTATGAGCAAGCCTGCATAGACTGTGACTTCTTATGAGCTGGTCAACTCAGTGAGGCTTCACCCTTTACACTGCATGCCTTTAAAAACTATAAGCAAGATTGCACATGATGGAGCATCCTTATGAACTGACTGGCACTGACATACTTCACTTCTTACACTGTACGTATTTACACAAAGACTTGGTCATGATAGAACCAAGTGACAGAGGAAATTTATATCTAGCAGAGTTTGGAGAAAGACTTTTATTCCACCAAAAGGACACCTCAGATGCATAGTCTAATTTTTGAGCACATTCTCCTATTTTTAGTTAATGATTGCTCCCATGAATGTGATTTCATTGTGCTGAGGCATTAATGAGTATTCATAGCATATTCATAGATTCAAAAGAGGTTCTGACAATGTAGATTGGGAAAGCTGACTTGCCTGAAAGGAACTTCGTACCAAAGTGTTCATCCATAATCGTGAGCCTGAATTTTTGTCTCCTTTCAACTAAGTTCCTACACTCTCCCTACTAAAAGCCCAGGGAAGGCCTGTTGTCTTCTCTTAGTTATTATATGCTGTGGTAAACAGAAAGAAAGAGTAGAAAAATTATTTTATTTATATATTGAATTTTATCAGCTCCAAGTAAGTACTTCTCAGTCAAGTATTACTGAGTGTAGTCACTGCTGTAGAAAATATGATAGTCAACTCAAGTTTAGTAAGTTCATACAAAAAGTGATCATACAAGTGACTGGAAAATCTGTTCTTGGTCACAGAGGGATAAATGTCAGTCAGTCAGGATAGGAGGGAACTCCCTTGTACTTGTTTGAAAAGTACCACACAATCTTTGACATCCAGCTAAAATTGTTTTACTGTCTCATCTGAAAGATATAGAGGTGTCAGTATGGATGAAATACTCAAATGACTAGAATGGGACTTGAACCAACATTCCTTTGAAGCAGAAGCGAGAGTCTAAGTACTGAGCTAAATCTGAAAGATGAATGACTGTAGAGAAACTCGCTCACACACATTTTATGGTGGGTTAGATGCAGACCACACTTTCCCAGCATCTGTGTGACTGTTTCTTGTTGGAACATCCAACCTTCCTGAATATGTCTGACTTGATTTGTATATAATGATACTTGAATGATGGATAATGTAAATATCTATCTCTGTATAAACAGAGAACAGGAGATACATATTAAGGGCTGTATTTTCCTGTCCAATTAATGGCAGGCATCCAGGTGAGTCATTTGGCAAAATAGGAAGCAGTCATTTCAGGATAGCATCCCGACGTATCAACCTTCCAGAGATATTTCCCAGGGGAAGGTGTTGGTATTGGGAAGTAGGTTGGCTGTATATTGAGAGTCAATTAATTTCATGAAGGAATTTTCTGAAAAACAGTCATGTTGGACTTGAACCGTTAACTGTTTCTTTTTCCACAGTTGCTACCAGACCTGCTGGGTTTTCTACAGCATCCTTTGTATTTGTCTCAGATTTCCAGCATCCTCAGTATTTTGCCTTTAAACATCACTAAGGCCCTAATTAGGGGTGATTTGTGTGATATTGCCAGCAGTTGGTGGCACTAGAGCACCTACTGCCATCCCCATCTGTTCCATACACTGGATTGTCGCAGTCTGTCTGTGGCACGCTTCACCCTGAAACTGGGACTCTGACTCAGGCAGAAATACCATTCCCAGTTGTCATGCTTCACTACAGATCCCAAACAGTCATTAAAAAGAGAGGCAGTGATTTCCCCTAGTGGCTGAAGTTACAAGTAATGTGATTGACCTTAATTATTTATGAGTTGCTAAAATTAGGTGGATTTGCCTAGCAAAGTAATATTAGAAACAAACTGCAAAACAACGACTAGCCGAGAGCAATACCAAGGGAAATTGACCAGTATAATTGAAATGCTTTGAATTCCTCACTTTTGTAAACACATCCTTTTGCAAAATGATATCATGTGTAGATAGCCAATTCCTCTCCTAATTTTATGCCCTTATGCTTTTATGAAGTGCAATAATATGAGTGATTAACAATCTAAATTGGTATTTACCACTCAACTGCAAAAGAATTAGGCAGCAAGAATGCAGTCAAAGTAGTAGGTTCATGTGACGCTAATTAATGCCCTTAATATACGTTAATGCTACTCCTACTCCTCACTGTACATTTCCCGTAGCAGTAGCCATGGCAACCAATAACCCATCAATAGCCAACCCAACATCAGTGCACAATGGTATTACCATAATCTCAGACACAGGAAACAATTTCTAATAATAGATCAGAGCAAAGCTGAATCCTGTAAAGATAATCTGTTAATGCCTCAGAGCTGCACAATAAAACCGAAGTTCACTGTAGAAAAAAAATGATAACTGGTCCACGTCTGCCTCTGGAGAAAACCCAATGCTACATGAGTTTGTATACTTTACTGTATGTAAGAGGCAACATAGCATTATTCTGCAAAACAGCCTCCTATACAAGTAAGTGGCTGTTTAAATTCATTTCGTTTTCATTCTTTTAAGGCTTGAAAAAAAAAATCAGTGATCGAACAAGCTATGGCATGAATAGAATACATTTTAGAGCGGGTAGTGTTAAACTTTTTTACTTTACTTTTTTACTTTAAACTTTATGCCTGAATAACTAATAAAATATTACCTCATTAAGTATTTTCAAATTCCTGTCACAGTCTATATCTTGTTTACCTTATTTATCGCTGCGTTAAGAACAAGTACCATTACACAAAACAAGTATTACCCTCTACACAACCATGGAAAGTGGTATTTTACATATTCTACTGGAAGGAGACTCTTTGCCCAACAGAACTAAACATAAAATGCAACATAAATCTGAATATGAAGTCAGTAGTGATCAGGACTTCTCATTCAAAAATTACACTTACACGAACAAGTCTCCACAGCACCAAGGATAGGTGAGAACTTAATAATTCAATGTGAAGACAATTCCCAAAGTGGTAAGGTTGCCAAGTCCGAGTCAATGTTATTGCTTGGTGATAATGTCAGGCTCTGTCACATGTTTAGATTTCTAGAGTAACACAGTAATGGGGCAGTGTCTACCTCACAATTGGTTCTATGTATAAGCAGGAACAGTACAAGTCAAATAAATTTTATGCACTGAAATGTAACCAACATGATTTTGAATAGGAGTATGACCTAAGCCCTATCCAAATGGGTAATGCCTCATTAATGTATTTCAAGCGGAGCTTCATTAGTACACCGATGTTTTTGAGATCTTCTGCTAGAAGAAGATTGTTAGCCTGGCAGAACTGAACAAAAAGTGCAACATAACACTGGATATGAAGTCATCAGTGATTGGGATTTCTCATTCAAAAATGTCACTCAGTCCTTGTACCAGAATCTCTTGGATTGGCTGCCTTGCATTTTCTATATTCTTAGGGGTTGTACATAGAATTTTCAACATGCAAATGGGCAACTGCTTACTGTTTGGGAAATATTAAATCTGGCGCAACTGAAGAAGGTTTGTCCATTCATGACAAGTTTAACTTTGTTGATGTGGTATCCCAGCAAAGGCAGACAGCTGTTTGTCATGCTTTCTAACACTTCACATCACCCTCGCTGTCTCTGTCTGGTGGGAATGCTCGCAGTTCCAGTGGATTCCTGGGCCTGTGGCCATTCAGTGGGACTGAGGACAGACAGGAATGCCATTGGAGGCTGGAGAATTTCATTTTTTGTTGGAGATTTGTTCAGGTGAATTGGAGGAAGGAAATGCAGTGAGAACATTTGGCAGGTTAACTACTTATGATGTCAGGGTCTCTGAGGCAATTCTCTCTGTACATTGCAACTGGATGGATTACCAGCTTTGGATCCATACAGCACTGGTGGAACCATTTGGAGCTCACATTAGGTCTGAGTTACTGGTGCTTGGAGAAACTGAAACCACAGCAGGCAATAATCCTGTGACCCAGGCTCAACTACTAATGAATGCAGATGGAGTGAACTTGCCATTACTGAAGCGTGCTGTAGAGCAGCAGAGAAAGTACTTCCAATAAAGAGCTGGAAGGGGGTGCCATTGAAACTGAGGTAGAGACCAACAAGGGGAACATGTACACAAACTCTCAGCAAACCTTTAACTCCCAGTGACGTCTGTCTGGTGAGGCTGTTGTTTTTGAAAGCTGATCTGTCCAAATCTGTTCTGTTTCGGCCTAAGTCTGACTATGTAAATCTGATTTGTGGATACTATGATGCACTGGACCATTTAAGATTCATGCAATTTTGCTTTTTGAAAAAAGTTTGGTAAGTTCAGGTGAAAGTAACATCTTGAAGGAGTATTGCTTCTGTGTTTAATTAGACTTGCAGTACTTGATGTTTCAGAAATACTTTTCTGAATGATTATGCTGTTTCAGGTTACCTTGTTGATTCTCAGCTGTAATCCACATGATTCAACAAGCACCTGGTATTGGTGAAGGAAAGGAGATCTAACTGCTGTCAAGAATGTCCATATTTTTTCAGTGTTCCTCATTTTCTAATTATTAAGTGCAAGATTAAAGCATAGAAGGATATTTCTTTTAATGATTTCCTTCTGGAATAAATCTTCAGAATGGTTTAAAAAAAACTTCACAAATCCTGTATTTACCTTTACTACAAAGTGTCAGTGGTGTTGGATTTTGAAGCCGATATAATAAGTGACAGGAACACTGCACAAATACAGCACTACCATTTTTTTTGACAGCATTGAACAAATGCTTTTCACTTTGACCTTTCTCACTGCTACACCTGCTTATCCCAGCATGCTCCATGCAGCAGCTTATTGGCTGACAACAGGTCATCTCAGATGTTTGTGACCCTCCTTGTGTCATGTGATCTGACATGGAGGTCATGTGTTTGCAGTCAGGAAGTAACTGTGTTTCCACAACATGTGTGAAAGTCATTCATTAGTTGGAAACAAATGCTCTGATACAACTTATTTAGCTTTCCACGTGACTACATTACAGGAAAGCCCTCAAGTCTTAAATTTCCTCAATCTGCATGTGGTTTCTTTTACTGTAACATCGATAAATCTGAGCTTGTGACTCTCAGATTCCTCAGTAGAATTAAATCATATGGAACCAAAGAATATTTCCATTCATAGTCTTCTGCGAATCATAAAAGATATCAAATACCAGCTACATTTTTATTTTGTTGACAAGGGTCCGTTCATTCAAGGCGACTGCAATCCCTCATAGTACAATGCATTTCTCACACTCTGCCACATTTTCACAAATCTTACAACTGTGCAACTTGATTTGACATACTGTAGTGAAATGGAAGAGTCATTTTAGTGGGGACATCTTTACAAATAATTAGTATCAACAATCCAGACACTTCAATTGGCTTCTGGCAGGACTAGACTGTTGAATCAATTCTATCTCTCATTCATTTCATAAGAAAGCAAAGATCTTTTAAAAGTAGATATTGCTCGTGTTTTCTAACATATTTTCTTGTGTGCATGAAGGACTAGAGGCTCCTCTGGGAGTGGGCTATTGGCTTGCTGCTGCCAGAAAAGCATTTAAGTTCATCATTTCCTATTGCCAGGAGTAAGCTCACATTCTTAAATATTTAAAACATTACTGCTGGTATTCAGCAGCTCTCCTAGCCAAAGTCAAGAACCGTGTCAGACAAACAGGAAAGGAAGTTTGATCATTCCAGCCATAGCCCACCTACACAGAACATTTTAAATACCAGCTACTGTGTGTAAGTCCACAATCCTAACTCAATTATAAAACACAAACTTTCCCAAAACATAGTAAGGACCATATATAGATATAACAGTGGTTGCCCATGAGAAGGTTGTGATCTGTCTCATCTAGTAAGCAGCCTGTGGGGTGAAGATATTGCCCACAAAACTGTTGGATATGGTATTCCAAAATTGTCATCCGAGGACATTGCAGGCATGACAAGATATGTCCAAGTCAGTGATACTTGACCTGTAGGCAGTGTCCCTATATACATGCTACCCTTGACCTTCTTTGCAGCTGAGTTGATAAGTTTGAGAGGTGTTACTGAGGAAACCTCAGCAAATTTGGATAGTTTGTAAAGCAGCCTGCGACAGGGTGGATGGAATGGGTATATAAGCTAGTGAATGGGATGCTGATTATGTGGGCAGCTTTGACAAGGGTAGCACTGAAAATTTTGAGCATCGTTGCAACTGCATCTATCTAGACAGAGGCAAGGATAGCATCACACAGAGACAGATCATAATGCTGCACTGATTTTACATGTGGCTACTCTCAATTGTCCAGTGTAATCACAGCGAAGGATCTGCAAAGGCCCCAGTAAAACGGCAGATGATCAGGAGAGCCCTTGAAGAACTCTAACTCATCAAATGGGATTATAATAAACAGAATGAGATCTTTACAGGGATGTTCAGTTTACTGGGACAACGTGGAAGAAGGCTCAACGAAGCTTTGAATTCAGGAGTTTATTTTCAGTAAAGTAAATATATTACTCTGTCATAACCTGACTTAAATCAATGAGGGCTACGTACTATGGTCAATGTAAACATATATATTTAAAATAATGAAATAATTTAGTGCTCTAGAATATATGATTATGACAAAATCATATGATAATTCCCAGGCTTCAAAAGGGTTTTCCATCAAATGTATGAGTAACGTGAAAGGCTCACAGTCAGAAAACTATGGTCAATGGATTTAAAAGAAATGACGCATCCTAAAACAAATGCTCCGTGCTCTGTTAATCAGGGGCACTCAAGAATTGAAAGTGATCTGAACATGGATTTACTTTGTAATGATGTTGCCATCTCCATCCGGCTGAAGAATGCCTTTAGGTGAAACTGCAGGTGGAGATGAATCAGATGATCCATCTGTTAGAATTCATAGAAGAAAAGTCAATTTACAAGTTGCTAATCCATCTCCCAAATGAGACGGGCTGCCCTTCTAGGCACCTGACAAGAAGAGATTGCAACTGGAACAAAACTGACATGATTATGAGTTTATTACAACTTATTCTCTATGAACAAATGCTTTAAACTCCATAGTACACAGGCATTCACATTCAGTGGCGATTTAGGCACTGGCAGTTATATTAATCACAGTTGCCACGAGTACAAGAGGAATGAGGGTGGAGTTAAATTAGGATAGTTTGTACACTCTTAAGCCCAACCTAGTGTGTTATTGTTTGATTTACTCTTTTTGTTTTTATTCCCATTTTTTCCTCAGGTGGGCAGAAGGGTGTTCCCCAAGTCCTGGATTTTAGATTCCAGTTTTTTAAATAAACCCACAGCAAAAAACTATCATTTTAAATCAAAGATTGAGTTGATTAACAAAACATTCAAAAGGTGGGGGAATTACTTTGCTAGTCCATGCGCAAACACTCAGGAAATAAAGGAAGATAGCACAGTAGAGGAGCTAGGCTATAAATTACAAGTTTTGGTAAATCCAGAAATATTAAAATATCAGTTCATGTGAGTTACACTTCCCAAGGTCAGGTCAAATAATAGTATTCTTACTGTGCTGGACTCAGTAGGTTCCTTCTTCCAAGCAAAAGGTTAGGTTCTTTCCAGCCAGTAATTTAGAGACTGAGATGGAGAATCCAAGGCAGACTGCCATCTCAGCCTGGAATCCTGCTCACCTTCTGGAGGTCAAACAGCAACTGGCTAAGCATCCCAGAATGGTATATTTAAACAATTCAGTCAGCTTCAATTTCAGTCAGGTATCAAAGACAGGCATTTCAGGTGCTGATGGCCCACCTCAGTGGGCTAATTGGAAGCTTGTTAAGCTAACAATGCAGCTTCACATCTAGCACCAGAGTTTCCATTGCGAGATGACAAGGTAACTGGAAAAGCATTGCAGCCTCGTTTTAGAACAATGGGTCTTGATGTTTGATTTGTCCATGACTAGCTATTGTCTAGGAAGAAAGCTCATCACTTAGACATTGCGTCATATTATCTAGAATGTCTATACAATGTAGGGGGTTCAGAAACTTCAGGAAATACAATTATTTGAATGATCTTAGCCATTTTATGAATGCAACAAGGTCGTCCATTTTTTAAAAGCAACAGAATTTAAACTCACGAGTATTGAAGTTAATGTAGTTTTCTTTGTGACTCCTCTTTGTGACATCTGGCCATGCCTCAGTTCATACTCAGCATTCTGACATGAACATTTGAAGTGAGGATGGAAAGTTCATATGTTCCAAATCTCGTTCTTCATGCAACAATTATTTTCCAGCTTCTTTAAGACTGGCACTTGGATTTGAAAGCTTGAACCAGCCATCCCTGGTCATTTGAAGCCTGAATTTGCATCAGTTGGACATTGGTCCAATTGGGGCTCATTTTTAGGCAATTTTAGTGGATAAAGAAGGTAACGATTGGGTTTTTTGATGGTGGAAATTAAGGATACAATGTCTGATAAAGACATTTTCTCAAAGTTTGTTGCTAACACTTTGGATAGAACCTAGAACCTTGCAGGACTCTTTAGCAGCCTCGAGGGTGGTAGTGAAAACTAGGTCAAAATCTTTCTTAAAAGTATTTGCATGGATTTCAAAAGGGGTTCCTGTGATTCCACAGTGGTTATGATTAACGCTGCATCATCATCCTCCAATCAGATAGCCCACTCCAATTTGACCCCTCTCCAAAACTCCATGATTGAAGTGTCCGAGAACAACTGCCTGACATTGTTGTGTTAAGTAAGTTGGTTACCTGTTAAGGCATGACCAGCACCAATGACTCAGGCTAAGTAATGAGCCCTGAGGAAAATTTCTGTCAATCTTCTTCGTTCCAGCAAGCAGCAGAAAGTCTCAAAGAGCCCCAGACCAAAATACACCCAGTTATGTTCAGCTCCACATTAGCACGAAGAAAGCAACGGAAGAAAAAAAAAAACACTATGTATGAATTCAGAAAAAGAGCAGGCTGTTTGGAACCTGTTCTGCCATTTCAAGAAATCAGGCTGATCTGATCCATGGCTTCAGCTCCACTTTCCTGTCAATCAAGCTTGATACCCTTGTCAATCAAAAGTCTATTCAACTCAACCTTGAATATGTTCTCAAAGAT